CAATAGTAGCACCCTTGGCTTCCTGCATCTTCCCTTAGTGTTTTCTGACCACAGGTCTCCCTCTCAGGAGGCCTCAGTGTGGGGCCAGTCTGACCTGAGCTAAGGAATCCATTTGTGTAGGGCATCACCTCTGAGAAGGAGGGGGTGGGGGTAGGGGGTGGGGAGTAGGCTGTAGTGGGGGTGGGGGTGGGGGGTGAAAGTAGGAACTTTGCGTCTGTGTCCATCAGTACCCTGTCTACTTCATCTGCCCGCTGCAGGTGTGCATCTGCCTGCCTTTCGACACGCCCCTTCTTCTGGAACAGTGTAGAGAAGGAGAAAGATGGCTGGAGAGGAGAAAGGATGCTTTACCCCGCTCAGTGAAGTCAGGCTCTTTCTAGAGCTGCTGATGCTCAGGGCCATAGTGCGAACTCTGCAGCCAGACTGAGTGATCAGAGGAGGATAACTGGGCCAGAGAGCAGAGATGCTTCCCTGAGAGCAGGAGAGGGAGGCAATAGATGCAGACATTGTCTTTCCTAGGGAAAGTAGAAGGCGAGGCCTCTTGTAGACAGTGTCCCTCTCTCTTCACGTTCAGTAGCTTTTCCTTGAAGTCAGTTAGAAACTGAACTCACGACGAACACTCCTGGGGTTCCTACATATCTGTCTATGCCTATCCATCTATTTATTTATTTACATCCCCACCCCCGCACCCTGTTCTTGAAACTTGTCTGGTTCAGGGTTTCAGCGGCTTGGTTAAGTATCTTGTAAGGAAATCATTTCTAATAAAGCTGGTGCGCTCGGGTTTATCGTTTCTAAGTGCGGGTCAGGATTTAGTTCGCTGTGTTAAACTCTCCGCGCTGCATGTGATTTGTCAAGCTTTGTCAGGAACAAAAAGTTCCGGGATGTGCAAAGCAGGACTGCTTGGTTTCCATGGAGATACTGCTAGTTGGGCTATGGAAATCCTGAAAAGGCCAGAGGATGAGTGACAATACAAGGATTTAGCGGCTGATCTGAAGAGCCAGGCTGAATTAATGAGATTTTTCATAGAGCGTTATTAGCAAGGCTCACACCATATGACTCTTAGGCCCTCTTTTTCCCAGCTGCAATCTTGGAAAACAGACATGGAAAGATTTAATTGCTGATAAAAAAAAGAAAACACCAAAACTAAACAAAACAAAGGACCACCTCCCCCCCAAAAAACCAAAATCCTCTAAGGTTATTTTAATTTACAACATTTTAAGGGTGCAATTTAAAAAACTGTTCTTTTCCCCCATCATTTGTTATTATTATAGCTGCATTTGAGGTAGTGTTTGCCCTTCATCTGCATGGAGATGGGACATTCAGCGGTACTTATTATATTGCACAGTTAATTCCCACATACTGTGAACACATTAACTGTTCAAAGTAGGTTATCTGGCATCCCATTTAGAGCCCAGGGAGAAATACCACGTCACCAGCTTCATCTCTCCTGGGGCAATATTAATTATTTATTATAGACTACTGATGTAAACTGTTATCTCTGGCAGGTCATGGTTTGTACCTGTGTCTATTCAGTGTTCTGGGATTTGGGAATTTGAATGTGGACTTCTGAAGACTAGCAATCTCTGTGGTTTGGGAGTGTGCTGCTGCATGTTGCCTCTGGTGCTGGTTGACACTAAGGAGAGGGACTTAGAAAAGTCTGTGTACCACCCTGCTCAGGCAATAATTGCCTTTAAAGTTTAAGAGCCGTTTTGGGATCATTGCAAGGACTAATGCTGTAGCCCCTAATTCCATCTCCTGTTGCTATTACTATTGTTATTACTATTTAAGAAGTTATGAACTGGTCTGTGTGCTTAGAAACATGGGTGTGATCAGCAAGGTTAGTTTTTAATTTTTAATAAGTTAGGCATGTAAACTCTTCATAAAACATCAATATCTGTCACCTCCAGAAATGATGCAGTGGTACATGGTGTCCTTTCTTGCTGCTCTACAGAAGGGCACATGCCCATCTGTTCTTAGAGATGGAAGACCATAATGTCCCTGCTGAATAATCCGCAGGAGAAATACGTGCTGTGGGCATTCCCCGGATTCCTGTACAGTAGGCTAATCCACTTAATCTCACTGCCAGATTCCCCAGGCGGGAATTTCACAGTCTCTTTTGATTTAGTGGTTTGTAAACTCTACAATTAAGTTCCTCTGCCTGCCTGTTACTGTATCTCTATTCCCTAGATGATTTCTTGAGGAACAAAATCAGGAAAGTTGAAATAGAGGTCAATGTGCCTTCATTCTTTCCCACCGTTTACTTTCTTTACCATTATTATTTTCAAATGTGTTGCTTTCTTCCCCTTTGTCTTCTATGTTATCATAGTAGCTTATTTAAATTATTGACTGTGCCCCCTCTGCTTTGCCCAACTGAAAAGATCCCAGATTTATCTTTGTGCCAGATTATATATTTCCAATCCTATTTAGCATCTAAAAATCCACTGTTCTGTGTGTCATCAGAAGGGTCTGGGAAGAACAAAGTTGAAGGAATCAAATTGTCTTGGCCTTGACACCTGCTTCTGGCATTTGTTAGTTTCGTGGGAGAGTCTCTTAGCCTGTCTGATATGATGTCCTCATCAGGAAGTAAAGGTTAAATGTGTTGCATATAGAAAGTGCCTATGTGCCTGCACATAGTAGACCCACAACAAAGTATGACAATGGTAGCTATCATTCCCATTAGAGTGCCTATTTACACAGCAGTGACTTGTTAGGAAGCATTTTATTAGAGCCCCTTTGACATGTGTTTTTGTGGCATCTCTGCTTAGATTGGGCTCTTGAAGTTAAGAGCCCAGGCTTTCCATTTATTTTGAAATTGCTCACTGCATTTAATTTCCGCTGTGGTCTGCTTGATTCCCTGCCTCCTAAAAATGTATATTGTCATAACCAATATACCTAAACTCATTTATATTCTCTCATCAGTGCTGCCATGGCAGGCACAAAAGGTGCTCTGATCCCTCAGGAGTAGGTGATACAGGCTGTTGCTATTGTTTTCTTTGGTGTGTGTGTGTGAATCTGGGGATCAACTCAGAGCCTTGCAAGTGCTACATAATCACTCTACCAGTAAGCTACATCCCTAGCTATGGTTTTCAAAAATTTATTAACCTAGCTATTTGTGTGTGTGTGTGTGTGTGTGTGTATGTGTGTGTGTGTGTGTATGTGTGTGCGCACGCATGTGGGTACACATGTGCTAAGTGGAGACCAAAGACTCACATCATATGTTTTCCCCAGTAGCTCTCCCCTTATTTTCTGAGACAGGCTATCACTGAATCTTGTCTGGATCTCACTGGCACTAGTCTATTCTTCTAGATGAGCTGGCCAGCTGCCTCCACGGTCTCTGTCTCCACCGTGCCAGTGCTGGATGACGGGCACTCGTCACCCAGGATGCCTGTGTGGGAGTTGCTGAGCCAGTCACCCCCTCATGCTTATGCAGCACATACTTTTCTGGCTGAGCCATCTCTCCTGCATCAGGGTTCTTCATGTTTTGAAATTATTCTTAAGCTATGTGTCTGTATACATGAGTACAGGCTGGAAGAGAGGATTAAATCCCTGGAACTGGAATTACAGGCAGCTGTGATCCAATCCATGTGGGCAGGTGATAGGACCTGAACCCTAGTCCTGATCTGGTTAAATTACACAAACTTATGGGACCCCAGACTCTTCATTAGTAAAATGAGGACATTAGTGTCTTTCCTGTCTAAGGTTTCTGTAGAAGATGAAATGGTACTGTGTGAATTTAAGGGAAATGCCTCCCTTATAAGAAGTGTTCAAAGAGTATCTACTTAATCATAACTTTGTGTTTGCTTTGAATTGAGAGCTTGACACCAGAAAAAATGAGGGAATAGGGAATTGCATGATTTCTCACCATCTCAGATTAATATGTTCTTCTAGTCTTTGAAGCTTCATCCAAGGCTTTCCTCTACTAATGGGAATAGGATGCCTGTGTGTATGATGGGCATGTTTTACAGTGGTCACCTAAACTAGAACCCAGTACTAGTAGACCCTTCACCCGGAGTTGTGACCAAGAATAACATCCTCAGAAATCCACAGGCCACCCCTAAGAGAGGAATAGCTGACATTCTATAGTGAAATACAGTGTCTTCTCTAATCATTTGCCTGTGGTAGGTACCACTGTGTCTTCCTAGGCAATCTAACTCTATGCGTTAAAAAGGAGTCTACTGATGCTCACCATTAGCAGAAGATGCTCCCTCACAGAAGGGAAAACTCCTGGTGGAACAGCTGTTTAAAGTTAGGATGTGTTTTGAGTGTGGGACCAGACAAAGGACATGATGATGTGAAGGCTAAGGCTGAAGGCTGGGCACAACAGTGTTCTAGGTGTTGTTTAGAAGGAGTGATGCCATTTGGCCATGTTGAGGTACTTCACACTTCGACATAAAATCTCATGGGGCTGAGACGTCAGGACTGAATTTCTAGACCAAAGTCAGCCAGTCTCCTCAGTTCAATTAGATGAAATGATAGAAGACACCTCACAGGTTCTGTGGAACCAGTGTTTGAGGGAATTCCAAGAGCAAGGGAGAGAGGAGACAGAAGATGAGGAGTAGGGAAAATACACAGCAGTCTCCTCCATTTCCTATGGTTTTAATATCCTGTGATCAATCATGCCTTGAAAATATTAAATATTATACCCAGAAGTAATTATTTACCGACTTTTAAATAACATTTATAAAGATATATTGCTATAACTGTTTTATTATGAATTGTTACTCTTATTATGAGTAATTCCTAGGTTAAAGTTTATTGTGATGGTAGATATACATAGGAAAGCTAGCTTTCTTTGGTTTCTCATGCTTGTGGCCTGCCCTTCTTTCCAATTGTTCACAGCCTACATGCTTGTAACAATGCACTGCACAAATTGAAGAGGCTAACCCATGAACTCTGCATCCTTCCAAGATGACCCCATGATTCCATTGTCTCACTCCACACCCTTGCTCTAATGCTCTAATGCTAGGTTTAGAAGAAGAAGAAGAAGAAGAAGAAGAAGAAGAAGAAGAAGAAGAAGAAGAAGAAGAAGAAGAAGAAGAAGAAGAAGAAGAAGAAGAAGAAGAAGAAGAAGAAGAGGCAGCCCCAACTGCTCATCACTTAAATAGCAGGTGTGTGTTGAAGAATGTTATCTAATTTAGAATCAGGTATTAATCCCAATTTTTTAAAGCTTTTTAACTGAGTAAATTATCTACCATCTCTAAGATACAGCTCACCTCTACAAAAGACAATTCTAAAATAGGAAGAGGCGGCTTCTCTCGTGAACTTTGGCCTTTCTCTTTATGCTGTTCTTATTTTCTTATAACTTAATTTTTGATGCCACAATTTCACTTTTCCATTCTTTTTGTTCTCTGCTAGACAAAGACACAAACAGAAACCCAATCTTCAGATACACTAATCAGCACTAATGGATGTTAATGATGATTTAAAGGGTTCGCCTCTCAAAGGGAGGTGAATTTTAATAAGTAAATTCAATTTCTTAGCTCAGAAATGATCATATGTCTAGTGTCTATCAGATTCTGTGATTCCTGTAGATTTGATCCTTTAACCCAGGCTTTCCCAAAATATGCACCCAGAAGGTCTGTAGCCAAATACAAATTTAAACTATGGCATGCCAAATTCTGTCTTTGCTCAATACAGAATATGAGGACCCAGATTAACCCTCATTCTCAGAGGAACAGCAAGATACACAAGTCATAAAAACCAGCAATATTCACGCCTTCTCACCAGGCGCCAAGACACAACTGTCAAAGGGGAGTATGATGAGCTCTCCCGTTTTCTGCCTAGAGAAAACTTCCAGGCTGTGGACATCTGCAAAGATCCCCTGTGAGTACACAAAAAAGATACAGATCAATGTGTAAATTTGAGAAAGTTACTTCAGAAGGGCAGAGGGCAATAACAGCTTAGGAATGAAAGAATGCGTTCTTCTCCAGGGTCCAGCCAAATAGTGTAGCCCTCATCAAGGAAACTTCTCTTCGTAACAGATGGAGACCATTACAGGAAGCCATAGCCCATCAAAATGTAGTTACGCGAACCCCAGTCTCAATGGATGCATCTACACCACAACTCCTGCACTCCAGGCTCAGGGATGATTGCTGAAGATGGGTGAAAAGACTGTAAGGAACAGGCCCTTACTGTGAGACTGTTTTTTAGGACTATCAGAAGCTACAATGTGACTGCCTAAGCCTGTTGCTGAACAAGAACAAGAGACGTGTTAGCATGAATGAGAGAAAACCTCAACTCTACTCAAAGAGCTATAGGCAACTAAGGAATACTAATAGTGGAAGAAATAATCTTCAGGGAAGAGCCACAAACTGGTTGTCCTGTACCTAATGGTCAGACCTGGAAATGTACATACAGGTAGCATTATACAGAATGATCAGGTAATACTTACACATTTAGGAATAAAGATATAGATACACACATACAAATATATAGGTAACATGTACACATATGCATATATGTAGGTAACAACAATTAATTTAAAAAGAGGTCACGAATTTGAAAGAGACCAAGGAAGTGTATATGGGAGGTTTTGGAGGGAGGAAAGGAAAGGAGAAATGACGTAATTGTAATCTCAAAGAAATAGGAGAAATAATAATAATAATAGAGTGTGAAAATGGTCATCTACATATTAGAGTATGAGTATTGGCTAATATGCTAAAAATAAATACACGAGTTTATATACATCTAAACTGACTTTTTATACTTGTTCTTAGTGAATAAATATAAAGGATTATGGTAAAAAAAAGAATATGAGAATAGTGGCTATTATATTTTCAATATGAAATACCCCTTTGAGTTTGTGAGTTAAGCACTTGGTAGCAGGTAGCCTTTCAAGGGCTTTTCCAGTAGGAACTTCACTGGCAGTAAAGAGATTAGGACAACCCCTTGAGGTTCAATCTGACCCCTGTTTCTGGTTGTTCTTTCTCTGCCTACTGGTGTCCTGTGAGGTAGACAGCCACACACCCACACTTCTATAAAGAGAGATGCTCTGCTAGCCTTCCCTACCATGACAAACTAAAGCCCTATGAAAGCATGAGCCAAAATATGTCCTTCTTACTTTAAATTCCTTTGCTCAGATGTTTTGGTCACAGTAACAGGAAAGTAACAGGGGCCAGACCTCTGTTACAAATTGATGGCAGATACATTCTGAGAAATGTATCACTGGGTGATTTCATCATGTGTGGATATCACAAAGTGTATCATCATATATGTGGTTTGAATTTGATAGAATATCATTATATGACACATTATTTGTGAACATTGCTACTCATAGATTTGATATAGTTAGCTAATATTAAGAATTGCACCCATGTAGTGAAGGATCTATGCATTAAGTGCTTGAAGAATAGTTTACTAAAATTGACTGAGTGCTGGACAAGTCTCAATATATCTCCAAGGATATAAAGGTATCAGACAGAATAAATTCTTTAACCACAGTAGAAATAGCAAAACCAAAACTAAAACACTTTAAATATTTGAAAATTATCAATGAATGTCTGTGTGACTAAAGGTGAGAAAATCATATGGAAATTTAAGAATATTTTGAACCAAAGAAAATTGAAAATATATATACATAGAAACTGTGGCATATAGTTAGAATAGTGTTAAGATAGAAATTTGTGCTTTTATTTGTTATTATTATCATTATTATTATTCTACCATATTATAACAATACCTAAGTTTCTCTTCCCTCCTGTTCCCCCACTCTCCTCACCATTTTCCCTCTCCCCTCTCCCCTAGATCCATGCCTCCTTCATCTTTCCTCGGAAAAGATCAGGCCTCTCAGGGACAACAAAAAAACACAGCATAATATGCTACACAAGACTGGGTACATACTATCACATCAAGGCTGTATTTAGTGACCCATTAGGAGGAAAAGTGTCTCATTAGTAGGCAAAAGAGTTAGTGAGTACCCCTGATTCCACTGTTAGGACTCCCACAAGAACACCAAGCTACTCAGCCATAACATATATGCAGGGGACCTAGGTTAGACCTCTACAGGCTCCTTGATCTCTGTTAACCCCCATGAGTCCTGGCCAATTGATTCTGTGAACCATGTTCTCTTGGTGTTCCTGACCCCTCTGGCTTCTTCGATCCTTCCTCCCCCTCCTCCGCAGGACTTCCCAAGCTCTGCCTAATTTAGACTGTGGTGCTCTGCATCTGCTCCTGCAGCTGCTGGATGGATGAAGTTTCTTTGGTCTCTTTGATGAGGATTCTGTCAGGCTCTGGATCCAGAACACTCTGCAGACAGGACAAACTGCGGGTCAAAGGTTTGGCAGCTGGGTTGGTGTCCCAATGCCTACACTTGAGGGCTAGCCTGGTTACAGAAGATAGCTGGTTCAGGATCCGCTGTGTCCCCCACTGCTAGTACTTGCTAGGGTTACTCTTGTAGATTCCATGGAGTTTTGCTTGCATTAGGTTTCCACCTTGCCCCCAATTCCAGTCGTTTCTCCCAGCATTTTCTCCCTCCCCACTCCCCAGTTGATGCCTCCTGCTCCCCCATTCCACCCACCCCCAGTTATCTATGAAATCTATTCTATTTCCCCTTCCCAGGGAGATCCTTGCATCCCCCTTGAAGTCCTCCTTGTTACTTATCCTCTCTGAGTCTGTGGGCTGTAGCATATTGGTTATCTTTTACTTTACATCAAATATCCATTAAAAAGTGAGTACATACCATGTTTGTCTTTCTAGGTCTCGGTTACCTCACTCAGGATTATTTTTTTCAAGTTCCAGCCATTTTCCTGCAAATTTCATAATGTCATTGTTTTTCACAGCTGAGTAATGCTTGATTGTGTAACTGTGCCACATTTTTAAAAAATCATTTTTCAGTTGAAGGACATGTAGTTTGTTTCCATTTTCTGACTATTATGAATAAAGCTTCTATGAACATAGTTGAGCAAGTGTCCTTGTGGTGTGACTGTGCATTCTTTGGGTATATGCCCAAAAGTGGTTTTGCTGGGTCTTGAGGTAGATTGAGTCCCAATTTTCTGAGAAACCTCCATATTGATTTCCAAAGTGGTTGTACAAGTTTGCACTCCCACCAGTGGTGGAGGAGTGCTCCCCTTGCTCCACATCCTTGCCAGCACGAGCTGTCACTTGTTTTTTGATCTTGGCTATTTTGACAGGTGTAAGATGAAATCTCCCAATAACTTTGATTTTCATTTCCCTGTTGGATAAGGATGTTGAAAATTTTTAAAGTGTTTTTTTTTAGCCAGTTGAGTTTCCTTTGTTGAGAATTCTCTATTCAGATCTATACCCCATTTTAAACTGAATTATTTAGCTTGTTGATGTCTAGTTTCTTGAGTTCTTTATATAGTCTGGATATTAGCCCTCTATTGGATGTGGGGTTAGTGAAAAATCTTTTCCCATTCTGTGGGGGTACATTTTTGTATTGACATTGTCCTTTGCTTTACAGAAGCTTTTCAGTTTCATAAGATCCCTATTTATTAATTGTTGATTTTGGTGCCTACACTATTGGTGTTTTGTTCAGGAAGTTGTCTCCTGTGCCAATGAGTTCAAGGTTTTCCCCCACTTTCTCTTCTTGAGATTCAGTGAATCTGGTTTTATGTTGAGGTCTTTGATCCACTTGGACTTGAGTTTTGTGACAGATACGGATTTATTGGCGTTTTTCTTTATGCAGTCATCCAGTTTGCATTTTAAATGCAAACATACATGTTGCATTGGTTGCAAACATATATAGTTATATGTTTCTATACGCAACCATTCAATTTATATATTTTAAATTCAAACATGCAAACACTTTAAAAAGTTGAGATTAATCAAATACATATTTTAAGCAACTAAAATAAATTAAAACAAAAAATAATGAAAATGTAAGAAAAATTAATAGCAAAAATCTGAGAAAGAAAACCAATGATGGGAAAAATCAACAAAATGAAATGTTTGGATGGACAGGTTGACAAGTCTGAGCCAAGAGAAAAAAAGAAGGCACAAGTTTTCAAAATGAAAAATGAGATGCCATCAAGTTCCAACAGACATATAAAAGGGGTTTATACTGACAAACTTGAACATTTTAAAGGAGAAAATTTCTTGAGAAGTATATAATTTAAAAAAAACACCGAGAGAAGTGAAGAAGCATGAATAATATACATCTATCTTAAAACTGCAAAATAAGAATCTTAACTTTGAAGGTAACTCCAGGCCCAGAAAACTTCAACCTGAAAGAATTAAGTTCTCCAGAGAAAAATGCGAGGAAGTATTTTCTGTCATCTCATTCTATGAGGTTGTCGTGACTTTGGTTTTAAAGTTGAGGAGAGTACTTTAAGGAAGATGAAACACCTGCAGGGGTTGCTCAGTGGTGGAACACTTCCTGGGCATGCATAAGGCTATAGACTTTATCTTTGGTCGGGGGTGGGGAGGTGAGTGGATGGAAGGCATAGCTCGTGTCATAAAAATAGGCTTGACATCAAGCAACTTTACCTGCTGAGCCATTTTGCTGGCCCTAGAAATGCTTTCTTAAAGACCTCTATACTTTTCAGAGCCCCACTAAGGGAAACTAAACAATATCTAAATAAACGAGGGACATACCATGTTCATTGACTCAACCATGTGATGTTAATAAAGACATCCTTTGCTCTCCTAAACATCTACGTGTAAAAAGTTTTAAATATGATTATAATGATGATATGGAAATGCAAAAGGCAAAAATACAGCCAAGATAATATTGTTTTTAAGTGAAAATAAAATATTGAATACTAGTATTTTAAAGTTATAATTAAGGAGGATAATATTGGCGGCAGATAAACCACTGGAACAGAATAACAACCAGACATAGATTTGTGTATTTAAATCATGGGACTCCTTCCAGAGCTGGGCTGCAGAGAAGGCACTCTGACAGAATACTGACATTTTTACCTGTGTCCTGAGTCCTTGAGTGTGTTCATGCTGCAAAAGGTCATTTAGTGCAATGTTCCAAAGCCAATTTGCTTATGCAATTAATTTTCATGATTGACAAATGGTTAAATGTGACCCTAGTACCAATTCCACATCCTTTGCCTTATGTTATGACTCCCTGAGACAGTAGCTGAATTTTACACTTACTGTTTTCACTCAGCTTCAGCTGCCCTAATCCATCTCCCTCAGCTCCAGGGTAGGCAAGTCCTTGCATTGATATTGGTCCCTAGCATTCTCATTATTTGAGACTGTCAATCAACACTAATAAAGTACTACATGAAGACCAGCTTAGGGACCTCTTTTTTTCTTGGATAAGTCTGTGATAGGAAAGAGCTAGTGTCCTCTACACAGATCTTTCACTGAAGGTAAAAGGACAATGGAGAGCAGGATTTCTGGATTGTTGTAGGGGTCTGTTCCATGTTGTCATTGTTGGGTATACTCCATGCTCTGAGCACTATACTAAGCACTTGAAGTGTGGTAACTTACTTTACATACACTGTTTACCTAATTTATTTATACATAACAATGGTGTGACATGAGAGTGTTATTTCTTCTGTGTTGCTGTGAGACAATGGATGCATGTTCAGTGAAGGAGTCCGCCAATCATCACACGGGTACCAAATGATGAAGAGTACACGGTAGGCAGGGTGTTTCTGGAGTCTTGCTCTTTACAAACTATGCAACATGCAAATGCGAAGTTTAACACTGTGTGCAGTCTCCTTCATTTCCTCAGTTTTCAAAGATATGAAGGAAGACCCCGAGCCTAAAGACAAGCTCTACAGACTCACTCCCTCTGTGTACGAGGCAGCAGAGGGCAGGGCTGGGACTGCACACCTCATGCCTCACAGTGAGGACCGACCCTTCTACAGCTCTTGCCTCATCAGAGGGATGGCTGCTCCCTAGGACAGCTGCATATTTTCTTGGGGTAAAAAAGAGAAAGTATCACAGAAAATGTACGTGTCGGTGAAGTTAGGGAATAGCGATGACTTTTTTGTTGTTTTGTTTTTTTAAGGGAAACATTTTCCCTTTGCTTGGCTTTCTTCTGGCATCCACCCTATTCCTTGCCAGAACTTTCCTTTTCTGAGCTCTGAGAGGTAAACTTAATAAAGACTGATGTCAATGACAAATTCTGTCAACTTCTAACTGTGGAAAATGGGCCAAGGAAAATAAATAAGACAAGGAATGATGGA